AGTGAGTGAGTGAGTGTGTGAGAGAGAGTGTGTGTGTGTGTGTGTGAGAGAGAGAGTGTGTGTGTGTGTGTGTGTGTGACCGTTAGAAACCGTTGGAGGGTGTGATATTGACTGGGAGGAGTCAGAAGCAGTGATTTGTAGATCCTTTGATGGATGATTCTTATATGTGAATGAGGGAGGACGCGTGTGGGAGATTGTACGAGTCTGTCTTTTTTCTTCTCCCAGAGCACTACCCTGGAGGAAAGAAAGAAGAAAGAGAGAGTGAGTGAGAGAAAGGGAACCACTGTAGAAAGACAAGCACCGCACAAACAGCCTGGAGAGGAGAAAATACCAAGTGCTGTTATTCCTGAGGGATCTGCGGTCTGTTAGCTTTACTTTTACTCCTTGGTTTTCACATTTTGTGTGTTTTAAGAACCGATACCTGTCCTGTAGTTTATGTTTGGGCGTTTGCAGCTGCAGTAGAGGTTTTGGTCAGGACTGGCCGTCTGAACGCTGAACTGATGCTTCCCAGCTGTGATTTGTGGATTTGGGGTTTGTTGAGCGCCCTTCTCCTGGCGGGTCAGTCTGGAGCGTGTCCTCCTCACTGCTCCTGCACAGGCACCACTGTGGACTGCCATGGACTTGCCTTCAAAAACATACCACGAAATATACCAAAGAACACAGAACGACTGTGAGTATCATCTGCTGATTGCACGTGTGTCACTGTACGTCACTCTAATGTATGTGCATGATTATGCATTTGTGAATGGCGTAGGTTGACACTCAACGCCTTTTTTGGATTTAACATGATATATCTTATGAGCACTTACAACTTGAATCTAGTGATATTTTAGATCTAATTTGCTCCAAAAGGTGTATTTGGCAACTTCAGTAAAGTTTTGAGTTAAAAAGTGAAAAAACTACAGAAAATAATTTCATCTTGCTGCTTAGTTTTTTTAAAACAAATTTTTTTGTTTAGTAATGGAAGTATGTGGGGCAAATATTATAATTAGGAATGCACAATATATCAGTGCCATATTGATTATCAGCAAATTTGAGATATTTTTGTGGTTATCGGTGTCAGTTGATATTGGTTATATTTAATTTGACATTAACAAATCTAAAAACGAATATCCATTTTTCATACTGTACTTTATAATTTTGTGATAATAAAAAATATAAATTCATTTAAAACTTTTTTTTTTTTTTCAAATATAATTTTTCTATATGTGACCCTGGAGCACAAAACCAGTCATAAGTGTCAATTTTTCAAAATTGAAAATTGAAAATAATCTGAATAAATAAGCTTTCCATTGATGTATGGTTTGTTAGGATAGGAGAATATTTGGACGAGATACAACTATTTGAAAATCTGAGGGTGCAAAAAAATCTAAATATTGAGAAAATCTCCTTTAAAGTTTTTACTTAAATTCTTAATTTATGTACACAACCATATTTATGTACAAACATACAGATTTAGTACTGGCCATTCATGAGATATAACTGATTGTTAGATATTGCTAATGAAAACTATTCAAAATAATTTTCTGTAAATCAAATAAAGGTGAAATAAAGTAAAGTATATTACATGAAAAAACTGGGCAACTATAACTGAAATAAAATAAGTTGAAGTCGAAGTACTACAGTTACTAAAACTAAAGCTGAAATAAAAACAAATTAAGGCTAAATATAAATATATAGAAAACTACTAAAATGACAAAAAAAAAACATTTTAAATGTAAACTGAAAATAAAAAATAAATAATAAAAATATGAAGTAGTACTATTATAGAACATAAGTAATATTAGCACTGAAAATAACACGAAAATAATTATCGGCTTATCGGTATTGATTAAATTTTTAATATCAGTGCATTGCTGTTTAAAAATATAGCTATTTAGTGCAGTATTTAGCTATGTGTGTTAGCATGATAAAATCCCTTATTAATCTTGTCTGCATGTGCAAAATTAAACCCAATATTTTAAATCCTGATAAACACAGTAACATTTGTCTGATGTTTTTAATAATTTTTTAAATTAATTCTGTTAACGAACTGGGGGAAAATTTGTAAAAATGGAAATAATTATTCTACCGTCTGATGTTGATAGCCAAGGTTTCAACCTAGCCATGACTAATGAAACACAGGTTAACAAAGTTATCAGCTCATTAAGAAATACTAAATGTAGGGATGTTCATCAATTTGACACTAAGTTTCTCAAAACTCATAAAGATACTTTAGCTCCTGTTATCTCTCATCTAATTAATTTATCATTTGAATATAGTGTTTTTCCTACTGCATGGAAGCAAGCCATTGTTTCTCCTATTTTTAAATCTGGGGATAATTTTGAGGTAAGCAACTATAGACCAATCAGCATATTGCCAGTAGTCTCAAAGGTTGCAGAAAAGGTAGTTCTTGAACAATTGACATCTTATCTTAATAAAGCTCAGGTTGGTTTACACTGTATGCAATTTGGTTTCAGAGTAAATCATTCTACTGAAACAGCTACTTTACATTTAACAGAGCAAATAAAATCTAAACTTAACAAAGGTGGTACAGTTGGTGCTATATTTTTAGATTTGCGCAAAGCCTTCGACACGGTTAATCACAATGTTCTTCTCTCTAAATTATCTAAGTTCCAATTTTCATCTGGGGCTTTAGCATGGATCTCATCATATTTATCAAATAGACAGCAATGTGTAAAAATTAAAGGGGTTCACTCCAATAACTTAAACTGTACAATGGGCGTACCCCAAGGATCAATATTAGGCCCTTTATTATTTAGTTTGTACATTAATGATCTCCCACAGCAGTGCGAAGGGATACAAGTGCAAATGTATGCTGACGATACTGTTATTTTTACACATGCGAGAACAGCAGAGTTAGCAGCTGAAAAGCTAAATGTTGCTATGGAAAGTATTACACAGTGGTTAGAGCAATCGTGTCTTACCTTGAACACTGGCAAAACAAAAGGGATGTTTTTTTCTAAAATGAATGTGTGTTCTTCCAATGCAGATATTTTTATAAATGGTGAAAAGATAGAAATTGTTACTGAGTTTAATTATCTTGGTTTAACGCTGGATCCAAATCTTAGTTTTAAAAAACATGTAAAGAAATTGGTGAGGACTATAAAATATAACTTTATCAATTTTAGACAAATTAGACAATGTCTACCCACTGATGTAGCCAAGACTTTTATGCATGCTACAATCTTTTCTCATCTGACATACTGTCTGACATGTTGGGGTCAAGCAGGGGAAACTGTTATTAAACCTTTAATATCTCTTTATAAACAGATCTTAAAAACTCTAGACAAAAAGCCTAACCAATATCTCCACTGTAGGGTTTTGGAGAAATAAATTTTTTTGAGCTTTGATAATTTTAGACTTTTCGCAAATTTGTGTATGGTATATAAAATTTCTTCTATACTTCGTGATTTTGTGCATTTTCGCTCTACAGTCTCTGTAAGATCTACTAGATCATCATCTATTAGTGATTGTGTTGTTCATTTTCGTCATTCTGCCTTTGGGTTATCATCTTTCTCAGTGAAAGCTATTATTCACTGGAACACTCTACCAGAAGACATAAGGATGTGCACATCTATTGACATGTTTAAATTAAAACTTTTCAAATAAAGTTTAATAATAATAATGTGCTGAAAGAGTTCAGTGTGTTTACATTGAGATAAACTAATTTACAGAAATTATGTCAGTGACACATAGATAGATAGATAGATAGATAGATTGATAGATGTCAGTAATATTTAACTCAGAGAAAGGACAGCACAATTGTTGCGTTCTGGTTTTGTTTACAGTGTCGGCCTTTACATTATGCACTGGCTCTGTATATGAGCATGTTTGTGTGTCTCAGAGTTTGGAGTATCTCATGTCAGAGCTCTCAGAGCATGTCCATCAAACCCTCTGTGCGGTTCAAGAGATGTCAAATATAACCGATACTTAGGACATAATTGTCCATTGATTCAGTGGGTGTAATTCCGGTTATCATCCTCCTCGAGCACGCTCTCAGATCATACTGAGATGTATCATATGTTTGTTTACTAAGATTGCTGTGTTACCTCATACTGCAGATCTTGTACTTAAATGATTAGTTCACTCAGAAATGAAGATTCTGTCATGCAGTGCCAAACCTGTTTGACTTTCTTTCTTCTGCGCAAATGTTTGAAGAATCTCTCAGATGTTTCTGTAGACACAATGAAAGTCAATGGAGTCCAAAAGTTGTACACTTCAAAAAGGTATCGGAACAGTAATCCATAGATCTCAAGTGGTTACATCCAAGTCTTCAGAATACAACAAACTTAAGAAGTTCATTCACAAATCAAATCAATACATTCATCAACTCATTTATTCAGAGCCCCAAATCAAATATAGCGATGCTTGAGTGACATCAAACCCCATTGGCAATTGTGTCATGATAATAAGTCACGTGACATGCAGGATTACTTTTACGCTTCTTTTATGTCTTTTTGAAGTTTTTGGTCTCAATTCATAAAATAACCATACAGGTTTTGAACACCAAACAGGGTACGTAAATAATGACAGAATTTTAATTTTTTGGTAAACTATTCACTTAAAGTATCATAAAAGTAGTCCATATGACTTGTGCTCAGACATCATCAGCATGCGCTAGTGCTAAACACAAAGAGCATGATGAATCACACTTTGGCATTTGCAGTTTTTATGTGTGCTGACAAAAAGTGGAAGCTGTGAAAGAGGAAGGGATAAGAGCTTGAGGTAAGCAGTTTTATGTTTAAGCGCCATGTCGCGTTGATTTCATGTCACATCTTTATTGGCTAGTCAGTAAACGTGGGTTGTAGCAGCAAACACACTGTGCGATGATCATGCTCAATTTCTGACACTATCAGAAAATTATTGAAGGCTATCTTTGGTCGCAAGACCGTGCCACGATTGTTTCACGATGCCAATCTTTCGTCTGGGACAGCTGAAAATCGTGCAGTGTGTCTCGGGCTTAAGGCTAGGACTCTTTCCACAACAGCAATGATGTTTCAGTACCAACAAACAATTCAGGAAAGTGCCGCAATGAACAATGAAAAGGCATTTAGATGAGGTTCAATGTGTTCAACCCTGTTGAACAATTAGCAGTGAAAGCAATATTGATAACAGCAAGCAGCTCTATAGTGAGGAGGACATTCCCTAGGCGATGCGCAGCAAACAGAGTCATTTATCAAGGAGACTGCACTAGCCAAATAATATCCCCCATCGTCCCCTGAGCTTTGCCCCTGCAGTGGTAAAGAATGGAGCTGCGGAGGTGCCGTTATTTGAGTTGGCTGGGGGGAGGCGGGGGTCGCGAAGGAGGGCAAAAGGCTGCTGAGGGTTGCAGTGCTCAAACGGCTCAACATGATATCACTGGCCAATAATAGAGTTGAGAACGGACAGGATATCTGTGTACAGGCAGTTTTTGTCTTTTGAATGAAATGAATTGAAACTAAATGTAAACTGATTGATTAGATGATCATATGAAATATCTGGTGAAGGATATCTCGTGTCTCAAATGTTCTGTAAAAGTGTTCAGTGTAAGCCTAGCTGTTCGTAAGAGATCGAATCAGAAGTGATTGGTAGGGGTTGAACACTGAAGGTGCGCAGGTGCATGTGCCAGAATGAGTAACAGGGTTGAAAATGTAGCCTAAATTAATCTGTCACTTAGTAGATCTTAGCTAGTTTGGGATCAGCTGTTGGTTTCTACTAAATATAGTCCAATAAATTAAATATATGTTTAGGTGCTTATGTAGGGCCGCTGATAGAGCTTATGGGCCTCCTGGACAGGTTATTGACTCGGGCTCCTCTCGAAATCATGTTCCAGGGGTAAGGCTGAACCCTGCTTGGCCCCCTGTCTGACCAGAGCCCTTAGGATTGTCCTAGCCTTTCCCCTTGTGTTAATGTATATGCCAGAATGGGTAACAGGGTTGAAAATGTAGCCTAAATTAATCTGTCACTTACTGTAGTAGATCTTAGCTAGTTTGGGAAGAGATGTTGGTCTCTACAAAAATAAAGTCCATTAAATTAGATATATGTTCAGTGTAAACTCAGCTCTTCATGAGAGATTGAATCAGAAGTGACTGGTATTGGCCGAACACTGAAAGTGCGTAGGTATATGCCAGAAAGAGTAACAGGGTTGAAAATGTAGCTGCAATTAGTGTATAACTTAGTAGATCTTAGCTAGTTTGGGACCAAATGTTGGTTTCTACAAAAGTATTGCCTAATTAATTAAATAAAATGTTTTAGTATAAACATAGATGTTCATAAGAGGTTTAATCGGAAGTATGGGACTGCTGATTGTTGGAGCCAAACTCTGTGTCTCTCTAGGGTTTCTGGGGCTGCTGGACAGATTGCTAACTATTGGCTCCCCTCAAAATCACTTTCTGGGGGAATGCTAATATTGCTGCTCCCCCCATCTGACCAGAGCCTTAGAGTCATCCCAACATTTCCACCATTAGAGCTCTCCTGTGTTTATGCCAGAACAGGTAATAGAGTTACAAGTAACAGGATTGAAAATGTAGCCTAAATTAATCTATTACTTGTTGATCTTGGTTTCTTGTTTGTTTATTTTTGGTCTTTCATTGGTCAGCAACTTGGGCAACAGGGTTGAACTTGATGCAGTTAGTACTACAATTTGTGTAAAAACTGAGAAAATACAATGAATTTATGCCATGCTGTATACTACTGTAAAGCTGCTTTGACACAATCTGCATTGTAAAAAGCACTATATAAATATTGGTGACTTGACTTGACTATAAAGATTCCAACTGATGTAATTTCCTGGATATCATTATTTTAAGAAATATTTCATTTTTCTTTTTTTATTTAAAAAAAGTTTCCCCTGCATTCTCCACCAAGACTCCCTTTGACTAGATTTTCCACCATGATGAAACTCTGATCTTCTCCATATTTGGAACAAATGACCTTCAGACCATGAAAGTTAGTACTACAATTTGTGTAAAAACTGAAAAAATACAATGAATTTATGCCATGCTGTATACTACTCTAAAGCTGCTTTGACACAATCTGCATTGTAAAAAGCACTATATAAATATTGGTGACTTGACTTGACTATAAAGATTCCAACTGATGTAATTTCCTGGATATCATTATTTTAAGAAATATTTCATTTTTCTTTTTTTCTTTAAAAAAAGTTTCCCCTGCATTCTCCACCAAGACTCCCTTTGACTAGATTTTCCACCATGATGAAACTCTGATCTTCTCCATATTTGGAACAAATGACCTTCAGACCATGAAAATTACTTAAAGGGGTCCTATTATGCTTTTTCACTTTTTTAATTTTAGTCAGTGTGTAGTGTGTATGTTTGGGCATAAAAAAGATCTAGAAAGTTACAAATCTCAAAGTCCACTCCAAAGGGAGATATTTCGTTTAAAAAAAATCCCTTTTCAATAACTACAACGAACGGCTCATTTTGGACTACAGCGTTTGTTTTCCGGGCTTTGTGATATCACAAAGCGGCCCATTAGAATATCATTAAAAAAATTCCCGCCTACAGAAATTCGAATGGTTGGGGGGTGCGGAGGAGCGAGGTTGTGGTTAGAACGCTTGGTTGAGTGCATCAGACGAGATGACGAAGAAGAAGTGCTGCTGCAGAGTTAGTGCATCAGAGAAAACGAAATAAGAGCTGCTGTGTTGTAGCTTCAAATTTTCAGCATGTCTAGAACAATTCGTACAAGTATACAACACGACGTAGCTGGGCACCGCGGACAGACGCCGAACGGCGCCGCCGGTGTGCCTACACTCATTAATATTTAAAACTGTTTTTCTGTAACACCAACAAATTTGACTTTGAAGACTCAATGTTAGTTAGCCCTGGTAAACAAAATTTGTAAATAATTAAAGCTGCTCAACCTTGGTTCCCTGAGAAAAAAAAAAGTATAAAATAAACCACCCCAAAGGTTACTTCTGCCGAGAATATGTTTAAAAAACATGTTAATTACATGTTAATTGCTTTTTGTCAAATTAATTATTATTTTGCTAATATATTTTCTGGAGATTACTTGCATGAATTATATATACTCTTTATTGCCACACAACTGCGCTGATGGAAATGAAGGTCTTCTGGTTATGTATATATCTGTGACAAGCTATTAGCTTCTTTTTTAAGCTCTCAAGGAAACTGTAGGGATGTATAGCAGATGGAGAGATCAAGCTGTTTTTGTGTCCAATTTTCCATGTTAATGGTCCCAGTGTTGGCCGCAGATGCTGGACTAATTAAAGGATTAAAGGAGTCACCTCATTCACTGCCCTGATTGGTCACACCTGGGCTCTTTTCCACAATAGTGCCGTTACAGCCCGTGTCCCAGGTGACACTAGTCTACATGTGTGTGCAAATGTATATTTCCACTACAAAAGGGGCAGCCTGTCAGTGTTCACCTCTTAACAATGAACGTAACCCTCCTTTGCATGTGCAAATTATAGTCTTTATGGATTTTATTTCCATTTCTTAGGTTTCAGTTTATTCAGGCATGTGTGCTGATGTCCAAAACATGTCTACATTAATCTCATGGATGTCAGGGACAAACTATTGATATATTAATTAGATCTCCAAGCTGACTTTTCTTTCATCAGTGCTGTTGCATCATTTCATTTTAAAATACGCAAACTGAATTACCAAAAATCTACACTTATTTAAGCCTCACCTTGTCCACCTCTTTTATACCCATTAATGCATTTTTTCCCACTTACCATCTCATATTTCTTCTCTGTCCAACCCACAGTAAATATTAATGTGTTTAAAAAATATGAATAATATAATATAATATAACATAACATAACATAACATAACATATAATATCAGAATGGGTAACAGGGTTGAAAATATCTAAAATAAGGTAGTTTGGAGTGAAATGTTGGCTTGTAGTTTAGCATAAATTATTGAAAATATAGAAAATATTTGTTAGCTACTTTTCTTAAATAACATTACAATATCAAAAACTTTGGTAACAGAGGTAACAGATACAGTCAACACTGCAATTTGTGTACAAATTTAGAAAGTGGAACAAAATTGTAAGCACATTGTAAAGACACTTCAACGGCTTTAATTGCAGTTATTTATTAACCCATTGACAGTTATTTAAAAAAAAAAATAGTAATACATTTCAATTAATATTTAATTAGTAACTACCATTTCCGCTTTCTTTTTGCTTTTAAAGGGACTTGAACTCAAACAACCTCACACATATTGGCAAGGATGACTTCGCTGGCCTTAAGCACCTCCGAATTTTGTGAGCTTTAATTCATTTATTTCGTCACATCAATCTTATTTCGTTTGTATTTTGTAATGTATAGAGATTCAGGCATTTAAATAGACATTTATATATGCCACAACTACAGCCAGATGCAGACAAGAGCACATTTTAACATATAAACAACAATTAACAAGCATAACATAACATAAAATATCAGAATGGGTATCTAAAATAAGGTAGTTTGGAGTGAAATGTTGGCTTGTAGTTTAGCATAAATTATTGAAAATATAGAAAATATTTGTTAGCTACTTTTCTTAAATAACATTACAATATCAAAAACTTTGGTAACAGAGTTGACAAGTACAGTCAACACTGCAATTTGTGTACAAATTTAGAAAGTGGAACAAAATTGTAAGCACATTGTAAAGACACTTCAACGGCTTTAATTGCAGTTATTTATTAACCCATTGACAGTTATTTAAAAAAAAAAATAGTAATACATTTCAATTAATATTTAATTAGTAACTACCATTTCCGCTTTCTTTTTGCTTTTAAAGGGACTTGAACTCAAACAACCTCACACATATTGGCAAAGATGACTTCGCTGGCCTGAAGCACCTCCGAATTTTGTGAGTTTTATTAATTTATTTCTTCACATCAATCTTATGTTTGTTGTATTTTGTAATCTAGAGGGATTCAGACATTTAAATACACATTTATATATGCCACAACAACAGCCAGGAAGCAGACAAGAGCATATTTTAGCATGTAAACAACAATTAACAAGCAAACAGTTTTATTGTATTTTAATTACAGTTTGTATGCTGTTAGAGGTTGGAATGTGTGGCTGTTCTTCACACTCGCTATTCTCCACTTTGTGTTGAATGCTGGTTTCTTTTTAACTTTCACTGTGCATTACTCTATACAGGCACCTCATGGATAACCAGATCGTCACTATTGACAGAGGAGCCTTCAATGATCTGAAGGAGTTGGACAGACTGTGAGTTTGGAGATACATATTAATTCTTTCTATTATACAGTATTCTGTTTCAAAGGCTTTAACCCTATAAAACCTGACATATGAAATGTTAGTCAGAAAAATCTGCTTTTTTGAAATGGAACAGTTTATTGAACCTTTAGACAAAACCTAAAAACAGAAGTCTCTCTATCTCTGTCTCTATATATCACAGTGGATAACAGGGTTGAAAATATCTTAATTAAGCTAGTTTGGGCCAAATGTTGTCTTGTAGTTTACCATAAATTAAGAAAATATTTGTTAGGTACTTTTCTTAAATAACTTCACAATAAGAATTACTATGGTAACAGGGTTGACTAAAATTTGTGTAACTAATTAGAAACTGGCACAAAATTACTACAGCATGTTGGGACAGTTAGAGAGTATATCATATTTGATGGATCAGGCTTTTATGGCTCATATTTTATGATATGAGAATATGGAGCTCATATTCGAGGAGGAAAAACCTCAGTTTTATTCAGAGGCTCAAATTGAGCAAACATATGCAATTTGGTGCAGATGCTGATATTTATATGGACAAAAAGTAAGATGAAATTCTGATAGCTTGTAATGTAATTCAATGAGGTCTCGACATAACATTATAGAAATGCATAAAATGCATGTAAATATCTGTCTAAGATGACTTAGACAGTTGCATATCAAAAATGATACAGTAGGATTTATAGGGTTAATATAATATTTAAAGCATTTAACCCTCAGGTTCTGTTGAAATTGACTGCATTCTTAATATCTGGGTTCCCAGAGTCCCCAAAGCTGGATGTGTAAAATTAATCATAGTAATTTTGAAATTAACCTTCACTTTCCCTTTTACATGTTTTTAATATGTTCCTGTAACCTAATAAAAAAATCCAGATTTCACAAAAGAATATTGGACGATTTAGCACTGTGCCTGGAATCCAATATAGTAACATAGTTTTTCTTTGGGATCAACTTGACTTTTCAAATTAATTGCATTTATTCATGTTTTATATAATTTTCCTAAATTGGGTTTCCTGAGCCGTATGTCTATGTGCTCCCCTCAGGCATCTCAGCTGAATGGGCAACAGGCTTGAAAATATCTAAATTAAGCTAGTTTGAGTCCAATTGTTGGCTTGTGGTTTACCACAAATTAAGAAAATGTTAGAATTTTAATAACTTTACAATAGCAATCATTTTGGTAACAGGGTTGACAAATACAGGCAAAATTACAATTTGTGTAACTAGCTAGAAACTGGCACAAAAATAAACATTTCTTTAAAAGCTATTGCATGTAGGGACAATTAGTAAATAATCTTCAAACTGGGTTGAATTGTGAGCCGTATGTCTTTGTGCTTCCCGCAGGCGTCTCAACCGAAACCATCTCCAGCAACTCCCAGAGCTCCTGTTCCTGAAAAATCCCGCTCTCTCCAGACTGTGAGTGACTGCTTCCTTATCAGAAACATCAGGAAATGCTTGTTGAGATGAAACCACCCATTCTCGGGCAAAAACATCACAAAAACATTAGCATCTGGCTAATTTGACTAGCTTCTACGAATTTGTGCTAAAACACCTTGCGCAGTGACTTCCTAAACCATCACATCTTAATAAGTGCTTAGGTTAGTTAGCTGTGGATAGATGAAGAGTTTTTAGCACTAAGAACATATATTGTTGGTAAACTCTGGCCTGTCAGGGGCAGTCTGGGGAAAAAAAACGGTCTATTTTTGTGTGCTTTTCATTCATTATGCTATGCTTATTCACGTATCCCATTGTTAGCTTCGCTAACATGCTCACAAACGCAATTGGAATCAGCCTTTCTGAAAAAGAAAAAAACTGTAGCATACTTTAAAAAAAGCACTAATTATGGAATTAACATTACATTCATGGGAACTGAATATGTTTTCAGACACTTAATTGCATGCTAATTACAGTTTATATACATCTTTATAGGCATTTTTATAAATATATTGTCTTGAAAATATGACAGTAAACATTAGCGTCTGGCTAATTTGCCTAGCTTCTACCAATGAATTTGCATCAAAACACCTTTGACGTGCTTGTGTAGTGTCTTCCTGGACATTCACGTGTTTTTAAGAGTTTAGGTTAGTTAGCTGTGGTTAGTCAAAGAGTCTTTATCGTTGAATACTGATACAGTTAGTAAAGTCTGCACTGTCGGGGGCAGTGGGTCAAAATGGAAACCATGTAGGAATGTGTGGGAGTACGGAAAGAGGCATAATGGGTGCGAACAAATAGTTAAGGACAGCTGTGTTTGCTTGTTATTTGGTTGTTTGTTCATGCCATTTCACACGTTGTCTCATTAGCGAGTTGCCATATGGATGTGGTGCGTTCAGTCAATCTGCCTGCGAACACCCCCAACTACCCACACATGCCTTTAGAGAAAGATGTCTGCTATTTTAAATGAAATTCATAAGGTCTTTTTCCTTCAGAGACACTCGTTTTGGTAACCTCAGGAATATTGGTTTATGATAATGTGGGTCATGTGGGTTCCTTTCTTGCTCTTTGTTTGAATTTTGTGGCGAACCATTAAACAAAGCAAGATCTAGTTCATTAAAACAAGTAATAGTCTCCTAATACTCGAAGATTCATTAGGCTAGCTTTGTTAATTGGCACCATGGTGGCGTTCTCAATGCACAATTAATTAACACATTTAATTAAGAGAGGAAATAAGAGAGGTGATTGCTAATTATGATTGGTATGTAGATTTTTCCTCAACTCTGTCACTGTGGGTAGCAAAAATTTTCATTTGCTCTAACCGGGTGAGAACTCAGCTAAGAATGTGTATGTTACGAACCAATGACAGAAAAGACTAATTATTCTTCAGCGTTCATGCTATTCCCGTCTCTTCTCTCCAGGAACGTTCATAAATTGACTTCATTTGACAGGATACTGTAGCGTGAATAGCTTCGTTCCAAAACCTAGACAGCTGCCTTTAAAGACAGCATTTTATGGACTATAAGTGCACTCCTAATGCGAAGTCTGTTTTGAATCGTAGGGACCAATGTGTTCTAAGAAATCTCATTTAGGACAAAATCATAAATATTGCCATTCTTTGTAAGTAAGAAAATCCCATAAATGTATTGCAACAATCTCAGTCCAACAAAAATACAAGATAGCGGATGATAATGCGGGAAAATGTCCATTATAAATATAGTTATAGCTCATTCAGTACATTTATGTATTGATAAAAAGTAGTTGACTGTTTTTAGCAATATTTTTTGTGTGCTATGTTTATGATGTTGTGTTCATTAGTGTATCCCATTGTTAGCTTAGCAAACATGTTAATACCGAACTCAGTTGGAATTAACTTGTGAAAAATTTCACTTTAACATACTATTTAAAAGAGTAATTATTATGAAAATAATATTCTTTAAAAGAATACAGGTGCATCTCAATAAATTAGAATGTCATGGAAAAGTTCATTTATTTCAGTAATTCAACTCAAATTGTGAGTATGAAATGAATGTAATGTTTTCAGACACTTTGCATTTTAACTGCAATTAAATGAAAATGTATTGTAGTTTAAAAGTATGTGCAATAACTTTAGAGTGCTTTTTTAACCCACTTATATTGGATTTAGGTACATTTTTTACGTACAGTAATTTCATGCTTTTATTATCTTTGAAACATTCAAATCTGTTCTTTCAAGCATTGAATTTAAACTAAAATATACTTTATTGTAAATTCTATTGAAACGCATACTTGTGTATATAATAAATAAATATATTATGCTAGAGGAGTTTTGCACTTTACAACTTGCAAAGATCTCTTACTTGTTGCTTTAAAAATGTTGCTGGTCTTAAAGGAGTCATTGCACTGAATGATTCTTCTACATGGTAAAAAAAATGGTCATTTTACAACAGCGCAAAGCCAATTTTCATGTACTTTCAATAACTTTTCTTTGGAAACTTTTCTTCAAAAATTATGCAGTAATGGCACAATGAACCACTTCTTACAGTTCACTGGCCGGTCACACAAAATGTGCTTGAGTTAGACGTTTGTCTAGTTGTAGCACAAGTGGTGACATGAGGAATTATGACAGTCTATAGAATTATTGAAAATTAATGCATGCCTGAGGTGTAGAGTTCATGTTTCTGTAAGTACCTTGAAGACACTTAGGCTAGCATGCTAATCAGCTAGCGATATGCTAAGATGTTGCTCTGAGTGTTTATCTTACAAAACATAAGCTAATTCAAAAATAGCAAATAAGAAATTTAAAGATCTGTAGCTTTGGTTAGCTACAATATGTGTAACAATTTAAAAGGCACAGTGATAGACACAAATTTGATCCCCCCCCCCCATTCTCTTCACTCTTTCAGCCATTTTCTCTCTATTTACTGTTTCTTTACTGTCTTTGAGCTTCTGATGAATGAGTTTTGCCTTTGCTAACATTTAATATCCCTAAGCAAACAGTACGTCAAACACAAAAAGACGAATGTAAGAAAGACGACGGCTAACAAAAGGAAACCAGTGTGGCTAGTCGCAGTCTCTCAGATCCCACAACTTGTTGTTCGTTTTTTCCCACTCAGGCCTCTATTGTCCTCTTCTTCTTGCCCTCTTTCAAGGGTTTTCAAATAAAAGATCTGGAGTGTAATATTTGCAGAGGTCGAGCAGTCTTACTAGCCATGCTGTTTGCCTTCACCTCTGGATGTCAGCCAGGTTGGGACCGCAGCGAATGCAAACTGAACATCGTTGGCAAACAGCTTTGATTAAAGGGGGTTACCAGGAAACCCTGCGCTCACACTGAGAGCACTGGAGGCTCTTCTTCCCAGAGTTTAGGAGGTTGTTTCTGGTTTCCCTTAGTTTTTCTTAAAGATGAATCTGATTGCAGAGTATGTTTAAATCACTTTGATGTGATTAAGAATTGGCCGTGATGCATGCAAATAATGGAAACCTGCATTGCATCATCATGATACTTCTTGTGATTGAGCTGTGTATATATTCAGGGTTCAGTACAAGTTAAACACAAACAACGACACTTGTGAAGTAATGTTGATTACCACAAAAATAAATTAGACTCATTCAATGTTTGCTATAAACAAAGCAAATATCAAGGTTGTGGGGGGACTTGGAAGAAACAATGGAAGTGAATGAGGCCAATTTTTGGAGAAGCAAAAATGTGAAACTTTCATTAACTAGTATGTTAAAACTTCTGGATTATTTGAGCTTTAAAGTCGATCAAGTCATTTTTACAGTCATTTTAGGGCTGCCATGGCAACAAAGTTGTAAAATTTAATATAAGTTTACACAGAAAAGGTTAGTAAGCCATATTTCCATGCTAAAGTTGTGTTAACCCATATTGTTTATATCTACTGGTTATGATATTGAAACACTATTTTAACATGAACAAATTGGCCCCATTCACTTCCATTGTAAGTGTCTCATTTTAACCCAAATTTGTTTAGAAAACAATGTTTAGAAAATGTTGGCATTTTACCCAACCAGATTAACTCAACTGAACACTTATCTAACCCAGAGGAAGGTTTTGTTGCTCTGAGGATGCAATTGATACATACAGTACAAATGGAGAGCAACTTCACTCCTGAATCCAATGAGAAATGTTGAGTTCATATTCATACAGTATCTCTGACTTTGGTGCATTAATACGTGAGATTGCTGGGGTCTTTTTCTCAGATGATTACTTGAGTGGACCTGTAACCTGTGACCAGCATTCACAGGTAATAAGTGGTTAAGTAGAAAATAACATGTGGGAATGACAGGCAATGAAATCTGATTGCTCTCTGGAGCAGAAATTATTGCTTACATTTACATGAGTGTCAAATTAATCTAATTAACTCTAGAACGGAGTATATATGTGGGTCAAATATGAGCAATTAGGTGCATTTTACTTCATAAAACTTTATTATTTTATAATAAATAATGCATCTTATAAGTGTAAAACAAAATTTTTTGTGAGCATTTTCTTAATTGAAATATGATATCATGATGCTTAACGAATATCAAATTTATTACATATATTAGATGAAAAATGAATGAAAAAATTAAGCGTGGAATAATGATACAAACTAAGATCAAAGACTCAAAGGGGTCATGTGATGATGCTAAAAAAGAACATTATTTGGTGTATTTGGTGTAATGAGATGTGTTTAAGCAGTTTAAGGTTAAAAAACACATTATTTTCCACATACTGTACATTATTGTTTCTCCTCTATGCCCCGCCTTTCTGAAACGCGTCTTATAATGACTTAGGGGCCGTTCACATATCGCGTCTTTTGCCCGCTCAAGTTTGTTATTTCAAATGTAGACGTGCGGCAGGCACGCTCATAATGGAAGCGACGCGGTCGCGACGCGCACGCGGTGCAACGCACTCATTTTTTTCAGGCACGTCCGCGCCGCATCGAGATAAAAACCTTTAAACTTTTCAGAATGCCGCAAGCGCACCGTGGGTCATGTGACAAGAACCAACCAATCAGCTTCATCCTTTCTCGTAACAACATTGAAAGCTCAGCCAAGATGAAGGAACAGCTGATCACAGCTGTACAGGGATAGCCATTTTTAAATAAATTTAGTAGTAGAGCTACTACAAGCTATTTTTAGTGCTGCAAATCCATTTATCCTTTGCTGAAACTTCCACTTCTTCATGGAGAGCGCAGGTCATGGTTGCTTAGCAGCGGCAGACGCCTCCGGAGCACAAGCGCCTGAACGCTTTGGAAAAAAGCAGAAAGCGGCGCGCCTAGCGTTTTCCACTCGTTTTTAGGCGCTACATGTGAACGGCCCCTTATACTGTCTTTTTACGCGTTGCGTTGCGTTGCATTGCATCGCGCCGCGTAAACATTAAACCATGTCTACATTTGTGATAGGAGAAATGACAAACAACAAGCCCTACTCTACACTGCCCAAAACTCGCGTTTGAATCATCAGTGGCAAATTCTTTAAATATAAAAAATTTACTTACAGTCTGTGAGTCAGAACAGCCGGCATTGTAGTCTACTCTCCCAGGATCAGGAAACAGTCCTCCATAAAATGTGCTGCACACATCTGAATATTTGGGTTGAAGTGTTCTGGAACAGTGTTGTAAATACAACTTAACCACTGATTTCTAGTCGTGTCCATTTTTGGAAGACCAAACAAAGTAGTTTTGCTTTCACAACGAAACACAGCGTCACACACGGCGACCTTGAGTGAGCAGAGGCCGGGGGCTAGAGTGAGCGGAGGCGGTGGGCTTGAGAATGGCGCGGCTGGCGGATTCGACGAAGGAGCATCCGGTCCAAAGAGAAAGGAAAACTTGAAATCGCATCATATGACCCCTTTAAATGAACAGTTTCTGGAATGTGAGGTGGAAAAGACCTCTTTGTCCATATTTGCACTGAAAAACACAAGAAGAAATTGAACGCACAGTCTTTTTTAGACCCACATTCACATTGCAGAGTTAAACAGCTGGAGGTTTTGTGTTCAATTATATACTCCTGTAGACTCCTTAGTATTTGTTTAAAAAATATTCAGCATTTTCTCACTCTTTTCTTACTCCATTTCACACTTGATTAGATTTCTTATTATGTGTCTGATTTATTGTACTGGCTCAGTGGCCTGACTTCTACTGGAAATAGTGCCTTAGCAAATGCCACTAATGATACAGCTAATGCTCAGCGTCTGTGGTTAGCTTTTAGCTTTTTACTGCATTTTACTCCGTAAACAAAGAAAACGAGCTTTAATTTGCTGTACTCTTTGTTCATCCTGAAGGAACATAAAAGGCCTCTATCAAACGGCGACTGTAGCTTGAACCAATTGTGGGGAACTTAACAACAGTTTGCAATTGCTGCCAAAATCACATGCATTAGGAAAAGGTCACCGATGGCTTTCACATGGAGAGAAAACAGATGAAATGACATTTAGGAATCCAGATGTTCTTTTATTAAATGTCAATTTCCTGCAGAACAAATTGTCAAATTGTGTTCAGATTTGCCAAGATTGACTAGATATGAGCTACCAAAGGAATTGTTAATCAAAATAATGTCCTCACCCTCAGACCAACAAAGATGTTGCAAATGAGTTTGTTTTTTCATCAGATTTGGAGAAATGTAGCATTGCATCACTTGCTCACCAATGGATCCTCTGCAGTGAATGGGTGCCGTCAGAATGAGAGTCCAAACAGCTGATAAAAACATCACAATAATCCACAAGTAATCCACACCACTCCAGTCCATCAGTTAACATCTGGAGAAGACAAAAACTGCATGTTTGTAAGAAACAAATCCATCATTAAGATGTTTTAACATCTTAAAACCATTGCTTCCAGCTGAAACATGAGTCCTCTATCTATAATATTGCTTCCTCCAGTGAAAACGTCTTCTGGTATGAATTAGGTGTGAAATATGCCCAGATTAAGCATCGTTTACAAGTGAAAACAGTCCAAAACTATTCCAAACAAGTGTGTTGTATTTTGATGTGATGGACAACAGGAGATGGGTTTTTTCACTGGAGGAAGCGTTATTATGGATTATGGACTCATATTTTGTCCAGAAGTGATGGTTTGAAATGAAAAACATCCCAATGATGGACTTGTTTCCACAAACAAGCAAGCAGCTTTTCTCTTCTCAAGACATTAACTGATGGACTGGAGTGGTGTGGATTACTTGTGGATTATTGTGATGTTTTTATCAGCTGTTTGGACTCTCATTCTGACGGCACCCATTCACTGCAGAGGATCCATTGGTGAGCAAGTGATGCAATGCTACATTTCTCCAAATCTGATGAATAAACAAACTCATCTACATCTTGGATGTGCTGAGGGTGAGTACATTTTTAGGTCTTCCAAACAGTAAAATAGCAATAAAAGTTGCATCTTGTCTTGGTGGTTTATTTTTTTGATGTTTTCTAACCTAAACGTGCGTTTCAGTTCTATTTTGCATGAATAATTATTGATTTAATTCAAGTAGACCTTTTACAAACTCTTTTAAATAGGGACTTAAGTGAAAATGCCATCCAGATGATACCAAGAAGAGCATTTAGAGGAGCCACAGACATCAAGAACCTGTGAGTTAAAATTCACACAACTTTATTCATCTATAAATGTTCCTTTTAAGTCCCCAATAAAATGATTTAAACGTAAGCTTTAAATGATCCAAATGTCTAGTGTGCCATTGTGTTTGTGTTGATCTCAGACAGCTGGATAAGAACCACGTCAGCTGCATTGAGGACGGAGCGTTTCGTGCCATGAGAGTCCTGGAGGTCCTGTATGTACTGACTTTATGTGCTACGGAGAAAGAAAATTTTTGTTTTTTTAATAAAAAATTTGGTTTCAGATTATATACAGTATATATGGATTATATATTCTTTATAAGCTCTTTAATTCTCCTCCATAGTACACTAAACAACAACAATATCAGCACCATCCCCATTTCCAGCTTTAACCACATGCCCAAGTTACGTACCTTGTGAGTCCAGAGCTCTTTTTCCGCACTTCTCCTCACACAGAAGTATGAGAATTGACAATAGTGATGCTTGCAAAGTCCGTCTTCAGCAGTTATGTGCTGTTGTTTTCCTAGCCGGCTGCACTCTAACAGTCTGCGGTGTGACTGTCATTTGTCATGGCTGTCTCCGTGGCTCAGACAGAGAGCGACGCTGGGACTCTACACTCAGTGCAGTGCACCACCCAACCTACACGGCCTCAACCTGGCCGAACTGCAGAAGAAAGACTTCACATGCTCCGGTAAATCTGGCCTCTTGGGATACGAGCTGTAGTTTTGGCTGTTCGATTGTTTTTTTTTGGGGGGGGGGAATTTTTATTACCATTTTTAAATAAAAAATGTCGTTATACTTTTATTTTACAAATAATAATTACAGTTTTTCAACTTTTTACCTTTTGATAAATAGTACGAAAGTCAAATTGTGTTTCTTTGTGTATTAATTTCTATTAAATAAGTGTTAAAAAAACGAATAACATTTTTAAACTTTTATTAAATTATGATTAAAAACAGATTAAAAGATTCAACTTTTAATATTACTTTTTTGATATATAGTATGACAGTCACATTTTGTTTCTTCAACTTTTATGTTTAAGGGGTTAATTTTCATTAAAAACGTTTTTAAAAATAAAATCCTACGAAGGTCACGTTAACAGTGCCTTGAAAACGTTTTATCTTAACTGGAATTTATCATTTATTTTTTTGCTATTTTCTGAATAACTTTTAGGAATTGATTTTATTACAGCCCCAAACTTAGACTATGAAAATACATCCTAAAAATATTATTCTATTTTTATTATTATAACCTCAAGGCAGTGTAAAACAATCATAAACCATTTCGACACTTATTGTGTGAAAGTCATGTATCATTTTGTTATCAGTTTTGCTGTTTGTAAAATATGTATTATAAAACGGATAGTTCCGGTTCTTGATTCTGATTGGTTGAGCCGCGTTCGAAGCTGTTGTAAATTACTCTACAAACACACACCTTTGTTTACTTCTGTGTGTTGCTCGGCAACCACTTTGTTGCAACCACAACTGATTCTGAGGAACTACATTGTTTGGTGGAAGAATACTGTTTTTATTAATATCATTACACTTTATTTGCTCTGTTTTATTTTGTGAAACCTTACTACGTATATGGAATAACCGTTTTATAAAAGCAATAAGCCCCAAGAAGCCGTGGTTTACAGTGAATTTATAACAGCTAAGGGGCGTTGTTAGGCACGGCGCGAGGCGGAGGCTTCTTGGGGCTTATTGCTTTATTTTCAAATGTCAGTGTACTTCACTCTTAAAAATAAAGGTGCTTCACAATGCCATAGAAGAACCTTTTTGTCTAAATGGTTCCATAAAGAACCTTTAACATCTGAACATCACTAAAGGTTCTTTGTGGCGAAAGAAGGTTCTTCAGATGATAAAAAGGTAAGAAAGCGATGGTTCTTTAAAGAACCTTTGACTGAATGGTTCTTTGTGGAAACAAAAATGGTTCTTCTATGGGATCGCTGTGAAGAACCTTCTTGGTTCTCGCGAGACAAGCATATTCTCACTGGAGCTTAAGCTATGCCTATGTCCTACATCATCCGCTGGAAAGCCACTCTCTAGTGAATGCAAGTACAACCAAGAACCTTTTAAGCTCCTTTATTTTTAAGAGTGTTGTTTACCATGGAGGCTAGAGAATATTATTATTATGGTGTATTATTTTCTAATTAAGCTGTAATTTTATATAAAAAAATTCACAAAAGTTATGTAATTGGTGTGTTTTGGATAAATAAACTGTGAAATTAGTCTCAGAAGAGGCAAAAATGTAATTTCCACGACAGATTACACGAAGATTTGAAATATGAAGGAAATTATTATATATTTTTTTATTTAGAAAAAAAAAAAACACTGTTCCAAAGTCCCCAAAACTGAAGAAACATCCAGACCGATATCAAGCAAACATGAAACCAATCAACTGCATGCTTAAGACTAATATATCTATAATGTTTCCTTCTTTTCCTGAGGTGTTTTTGATTCCGGTCCTCAGCCCTGTGGTCTTGCGTCTGGTTCCTGTCCGCCGATGTGCACATGTACGGACAATATCGTGGACTGCAGAGGAAAAGGTCTGACGGCGATTCCAGCCAACATGCCTGAAGACATGACTGAGATGTGAGTGTGTTATTTACTTATTTAAGATTAGCTCAGCTTTAACATTGTTTTTGACCCCTTGTGAAAAAGAAGTGCACTTTACATTTCCCCTTGACTCTTGACCTTCACATCTGGTGGGTTTTACCCTTTCTTGACCCGCATTGGTGCGATCGACCATTTGACTAGTGCTAAAGGTCGTGCCCTTCACAGCGTAGTAGCCATGATAATGAGGGAACCAAGGAGATGCTAGTAGAGCTAACCATCCACCCTTGACATGTAGTTCTCTGCTTTTCTGTCTTTCAGACGATTGGAGCAGAACGGTATAAAGTCTGTTCCTCCGGGAGCGTTCGCCTCCTACAAGAGACTGCGCAGAATGTGAGTGATTACAGTTTGAACTATGACATAAATTAGATTCATTAGTTCACATACATTTATGAAAATCACTCTACATGCAGTTTTTGCACAACATGTCATTGTTAATTAAGGAATGATTGGAATAGATTCATTCGGGATCTGCTGCGTTTGTTTTTCTTTATATTTATCGCCATTATATTTCACATGTTTCATAATTCTTTCTTTTACTGCACAGTGATTTGAGTAATAACCAAATATCTGAAATCGCCCCCGATGCCTTTCAAGGCCTGCACTCACTCAACTCACTGTAAGTGTGCATTTAAAATTCATTCACTCTTACTGTGTCTGTTTTACAGAGTTACATGCCAGAAAATAAAGGGATGGAAAAAAAAACCTTTAAACATCATAAACATATTGCCAAAAAAATCTAATGTATTATATTATATTATATTATATTATATTATGTTATGTTATGTTATGTTATGTTATGTTATGTTGTTATTTTACCAAAAATATTTTATCATATAAAAATATGTATTTCTTAATGATTTGATATCCATTTATTTTAAGTTGAATGATTTTGAATGCATAAACAAACAACATTATTATATTATATTATATTATATTATATTGGATGCATTACCTTGATCAAAAGTGACAGTAAGTTCAAATAACTTTTTATTATATAAT